GTGCCGCCAGTCAGCGGCGCTTGGACTGCCGAGAAGTGGGCGTACCGTGCACTGCCGCTTGGACACCCTGGCTGCTGGCAGATTGCTGCAACAAAATAAATGCGTCCACATGTGAGAGTCTCGCATTTTAGACCCTGTCGTATTACGAAATTCCTTGGTACCGTGAAACGGGGTAACTTCGGACACTTTTGAGAGGTTTTTTTGAAATTGTGAAAGTTGTGGTGTTAGTCCGGACGTTAGCGGCGCATACCGGGACCCACCTTGCAAAATGTGATACCGGAATGCCACTTGGCACAGTTGTACTATCCCCAAGGATCATTTTAAGAGGTGGAGCCCAGGTGGACCCCCCTGCAGAGCGGCGGTACACGCGTTTGCCTATTTTCCTGGGGCAGAATTGAAAATCATTCGAAATAGACTTTATCTGACTGGCTATCAACTTGATATTTGGTACAGGACCTCTTCTTTGGATGCCCAACGTGATTTTACTCTAGTTGGTGACGTGGCTATGCGTCAAACGGGAATTGCCTACCTCCCAGGAGCAAAATACCGTTTTCGCGAATGTAAAGTTCTTGACGTCCATTAATCGGTGCATTCAAACTCCTGGGTAATCGATTGAGTATAAAACACATTTCATCACTGCATGCGTTTAGAGTGTGGACGTGGAAGAGCCTCGAACGCGCATTGAGGGTATGACATTGGTGCACGCAGTCCAATAGCTTACATGCAGATAGAAATATATGCTGGGAATAAAGAATATCTACGGGTTCAGCCGTATGTGGGCTACTTGACGTAAGGGTACCCTCTTTCGCAACAATTCTCTCGTGCACGACGCCCCCTTTTTTCATGGAGGGGGGGGGCCTCTGCTGTCGCCCCTACTTTGAAGCGACCTCCCGATACATACTCTAAAAAATAATGGCATTTCTACTACACCGTCGTATGCACTGCAAAAAATCAGTGTCTGATACGGATCATGCTACGGCGTTCCGTATACCCCCTGAAATGGTGATACGGACATCTGCCGTACTACTCCTCCCATAAGAGCCTGTGCTTTGTAAAGCGTACTACGGAAATTTAACGGAAAATGTACCGCTAATTTTACACCGGAGGTTGCCGTTTCAGTTTTCCGTTTGTGAATAAGTCCAAAATGCTCTACGGACAGTAAGGAACGGTCGCTCCGTAACGCCACGGTAAATCTGGCCCCTGGGATTCCCAGGCCAATTGGTTCATTCCCAGGGTATTTGGTTATTTCCCAGGACGGACCCTGGGAACGGTGCAATATTCCCAGGACGCCGTGAGTATTTCCCAGGACGGTCCTGGGAATTATCCAAAAGCCGCCAAACCCAGGACGCGTCCTGGGAATTTCTCAGTGTTCCCAGGGTCCGTCCTGGGAAATTTTCATCCCTTCCTGGGAATCTATCTGGGTCCCCCAAATGACCCCCCAGACCCCCTACCGTGTCGACTTCCACAAGTCTTTGTCATGTAGGATGTCATCGGCGACCTCACAAGGTGCCCGATGACGTCCTCCTGGGGTTCGCCATGACGACCCCCATGTTTGACCGTGCAAACTGGCCCACACGGACCTACCCAATCCGATGCTGAAGTCCGTTTTGTCCTACGACCAGTAGTTTGGGAGATACGAGGACGTACCACGAGGTCGCCGTCCAGGCAGAGGAGGAAGTGGTGATTTTTTGGAGGCCAAAGTAGCTCTGGCCGCCGTTCTATCGGGTGTCCGGGACTTCTGACTTCGGATTCGGGTTCAGGGGGTCTTCAGCTACCCATAGCCGGAAGTTGGTCTCGATAGGTCTCATGGTTTGACCAGGACGGCGTCAACCGCCCAAAACTGTAACGTTCACCTGCCGCCAAACAACCCCTTATCGCCGTCCTGGGCAGTCTGTTGGCCTCAACGAAACCAAACTCGGGCTCAGGGCAGGCGAAGACCCCCTGAACCCATATCCAAAGTCAGAAGTCCCGGACACCTGTTAGAACAGTGGTCCAAGCTTTCATCGGCGACCTCCCAGGGTGCCCGATAACCTCTCCCTGAGGTTCACCATTATGACCCCCGTATTGAAGCGTGTGTATGGGGTCCTTTGGACCTACTCAATCCGATGCCGAAGTCCGTTTAGTCCTGCGATCAGTAGTTTCGGAGATACGAGGACGTACCACGAGGTCGCCGTCCGGGCAGAGGAGGAAGTGGTCATTTTTTGGAGGCCGAAGTAGCCCTGGCCGCCGTTCTATCGGGTGTCCGGGACTTCTGACTTTGGATTTGGGTTCAGGGGGTCTTAGCCTGTACTGAGCCCGAGTTTGGCCTCGATGAGGCCAACAGACTGCCCAGGACGGCGATAATGGGTTGTTTGGTGGCAGGTAAACGTTACAGTTTTGGGCGGTTGACGCCGTCCTGGTCAAACCATGAGACCTATCGAGACCAACTTCCGGCTATGGGCAGCTGAAGACCCCCTGAACCCGAATCCGAAGTCAGAAGTCCCGGACACCCGATAGAACGGCGGCCAGAGCTACTTTGGCCTCCAAAAAATCACCACTTCCTCCTCTGCCTGGACGGCGACCTCGTGGTACGTCCTCGTATCTCCCAAACTACTGGTCGTAGGACAAAACGGACTTCAGCATCGGATTGGGTAGGTCCGTGCGGTCCAGATTGCACGGTCAAACATGGGGGTCGTCATGGCGAACCCCAGGAGGACGTCATCGGGCACCTTGTGAGGTCGCCGATGACATCCTACATGACAAAGACTTGTGAAAGTCGACACGGTAGGGGGTCTGGGGGGTCATTTGGGGGACCCAGATAGATTCCCAGGAAGGGGTGAAAATTTCCCAGGACGGACCCTGGGAACACTGAAAAATTCCCAGGACGCGTCCTGGGTTTGGCGGCTTTTGGATAATTCCCAGGACCGTCGTGGGAAATATTCATGGCGTCCTGGGAATATTGCACCGTTCCCAGGGTCCGTCCTGGGAAATAACCAAATACCCTGGGAATGAACCAATTGGCCTGGGAATCTCAGGGGCCGGATTTACCGTGGCAAAGTTCTCTGACGAAACGCATGAAACGGTCACTCCGTAGGGATACGGACTGGCCGTTTCACGTTGTCCGTTAAAGAAATTGGAGTTACGGAGTGTCTGTTCCTCACTGTCCGTAGAGCATTTTGGACTATTTCACAAACGGAAAACCGAAACGGCAACCTCCGGTGTAAAATTAGCGCTACATTTTCCGTTAAATTTCCGTACCACGCTTTACAAAGCACAGGCTCTTATGGGAGGAGTAGTACGGCAGATGTCCGTATCACCATTTCAGGGGGTATACGGAACGCCGTAGCATGATCCGTATCAGACACTGATTTTTTGCAGTGTGGTAAAAGTACCAACTTCGGTATGGGAAACGACAATCCCATACGTGATTTGGAAAATTCCTACGCTTTTCGTTCTTTTGCCAATGCGGTGTAGTAAAAATCCGAACCGAGTAAAGGAATTTGATTTCCTATACTCGTGATTGGTTTTTTGCCACACTTTTTAGTAGAAATCCTATTACTTCAGGCCGTTGTATAGTGCTTTTCCTGCAACGCGTTAGTAAGAATCCCAAAGATTTCCGCCCCGATTCCGAGCCGGTCGTCTGCGGGCTCGAGTCTGCAGGCACGCAACAACATTTTGGTGCATGCAACTATGTGAAAACTAAACGCGTGAGACCCAAACCGAGTATTGCCGAACCTGAACCAATTTGGTCTGCATTTTCGACCTACTTCTCCTCTCCTGTTCCTCCAAGATGGCGCGCCACGGTGCGGTCACTCGCCGCCCTCCCCAAAGAGCTTGAAAGTGAAGCCTCTGGACTGGCTTCGCTACGGGACTCGCTTAACTAAATATCGCTCGGGTCACACGCCGTCAGCCGCTCCACGGCCCACTCGGACAGCGCGGCCAGTGGGGTTGTGTAGGCTGCACTCACAAATAACAACAGTTAGGGAGGGCCGGGGGACGGGGCGAGGACGGACACCGGCGGCGGGTTTGTCGGCGACCCCCCACCGCCTGGCGGTCGGACCCTAAGTTACGACCTGTGATTGCAGGACGGAACCCCATTCTAGGGCCGCCTAACAATCGGGGTGGAGCTATGAAGACGTCGTGTCGACTCCCGGGACGCCGCGCTGGAGGCAGTGGCACTGCACATTGACCCCCGGGACGCGGTTGCTGCGCGGTTCCGGACGCGGGAGCTCCGCGGGGCGGTGGTGGACATCACCAGAAGGGGCTTGGCGGAGATCAGCGCATGGCCCGGGGCCACGGACAGGCCGGCCGAAGAGTGGCGGCTAACTGTGGCGGCGCGGGCCCAGCTCAATATTATCTGCATTATTTTGTGGGCTTGGTGTTGAAAAGATTAGACCCAAATTGATCAGTACTTGAAAAATTTTTTGCTTCTCTTTTTACTGACAAGGCGGGAGCAGAGTATAACCTTGAGACTTAACGTTAGCATCATGATTTTCAGATATCAAGGAGGAGACAACAAAATTGAGTGAAATTGGCAAAAGTTTCTAATTGTTGTGACTTCTCAACCTTCCAAGCTGCAATTTCATGACCTTTAGAATGAAAAGCAGTAGGTAGGGGATATCAAGTGCACTAAGACTAATTTTTGAGATCTGTTCATTGAAATTATGTTCTGGTAGCTGACCAGCTGCATATAATGTTAGCAAGATAAAAGTGTAGCAGCCAAGAAACTTGTGTTGTTTGTTAAATATCGTTAAAGTTAGGAGATAAGGAGTAGAAAATTTCATCAAAATAATTTTTATGCTGGAAAGAAATTCTCCCACAGACATAGTTGGTGAATATTAGAAACGGCTGATTAGACTCTAAATTATCATCATGAGAGAGAAAACTTCCAAACTATAATGCGACTGTTTCCGTAGGTGTATAATTTAATAAAAACCTACCCATGCGTCACCAGCAGGGTTGTCCTCCTCCCAACTCTCCTCAAAGTCTGGGCTGGACCTGCCCCGCTGGGGGCTCCTGTTGTTGAGGTCAGCTGGTGCGGGAGTTGGCAGGGGCCCCCTCACCTCGCCCAAGAATTCGGGGAATCGTCTGTAATATTCATTGAAATGTAAGTAACCAATACTTCTTCGGTTTCATCAAGGAAAAGCATATTCGGCCTGTGCCTTACTTCAAAATTACCCGAAGTACCGTATTAGCCGCATTTCAAGCTCATTCTCTGAGTACAGCCACAGGTTCAGAAAGACCTCCAGGGAGCCCCCATCCTGGCGCATCTCCTCCCTTGCCCTCAGAAGGCTCTTCCTCTGGCGAACGAAGGCAGGGGCCCGCCTCTCTTCCCAGCAGCAGATCGGCCTTATCGTCCTCTCCTAGGTTTCCTGTTCTTGCCGTTGAACAACACCTGCAATTTGGACTCCTTATTATTGTGGAAATTTCATTCTTCTGTTCACTTGCTCATGCTACCAGAATACTTACGATAGAACGGCCAGAAAGCTGGCTGCTTACAGGGCACCAGGTTGAGCAGCACCTTGTGAGACGACTCTAGGGCCGATGTCGTCACGTGAGGCATCTGACCCCAAACGCTAAAGCGCTCGGGAGTCAGACGCCCCAGGTAGCAACATTTAAAGTGTTGCAGGAACTTCCTGATGCCACCGCTTGGCTCATTGGCGGCAATGAGGGGGGGGGGGGCTCCACTACGTCCTCGTAGAGGACCTTCAGGTCCTCGGGGTGGCACCGTACTGTTAAAAAATGGTTGTATAGAAACAATCAGATGAGTGAAAATTTAGTCGTTCCAAAACAAAGAATTTTATCATGAACCAAAGCGAAAGAAATGTCGTTGAATCTTGTAAGCGACAATTTGTCGTTGAAGAACAAAATTCTTGTTATCACCCTTCACGATACTATTTGTATGGAAACAAAATCTTTTGCAATTATCTGATCAATTAAAGCATATTTAGAATAATCATCTATTGGTCTTCTTTAGTCGTAGCAACATTACTATTATTAAAAAAAGAATTAGGCAAAATCAATTTAGCGACAAAAGTACTCTATGAATACTTGTCCCAGACATTACAAAATCTTTTTCGACTTACAAGACAACATTTGTTGTTGGTCAACGACTTGTATTTGAAAGTAGACTGCTAATGTGTTATTACAAGTTAGTCGTTGTGAAATTATCCTTTAGTTCCAGTACGAGTTTGGTTTAACAAGCTATTCGTTCCACAACAAATCTTGTCGCTAAAAAAATTAGCGATAAATGTGTCGCTAAGTTACGACAAAATTTTTGTCAGTGCGGGGGGCTACGAGGATTGTCCTCTCAGCCAGTGCCACCGCCGGGTTCGTCTGCATCTGGACCTTCAGGCCGCAGTCCTTTTCGGCGTAGGCCAGGTTAGCCTAAAACAAATTGTAGACACAAATGAATAATTCCGTGCACTAAAACCTTTTTGAAAAACTTAAAATTACTGTTACTTGGAAACAAATGTGGTGGTCTGGTGGGTCTAGTAAATACCATGTCCACGTGGAACAGGCAGGTCCCGTGTTCAAAACCCTCGTCCCGGCCGAAGACCTTCTCGAGGCTGGCGATGGAAGTGGGCTCCATGTCTCAGACCCACCTCCCTCATCCGCCGCAGCACGTGGACGTAGTCTTCCGTTGTCGCGCGCTGCATAACGGCCGCACAGTGGGGCGAAACCGGAAAAAGTCGCACGTAAGTCCGATTTCGCCGTTTTTGTCCCAGAGGGATGGGACCGACGTTTTTGAACTCACAAAGGACCATTCTATATAGTTACGAACATTTTTTGCACCTCAAATAACTACTACTTGCCGTTTAGCGATCTCAAAGTAGAGCAATCTCGCGAGAAAATGATACATTTGGCGGGGGTTGCGTAAGAAAGGCTACTCCTATCGCTGTTGCAGAGCAAACTAACATGTTTTGTATGTTTTTGGAAAGGCAAAAAATCAAGCAGTCCAGTCCATTCATTGGAATTGGTTTCAAACGAAAAGTGTGGAAACTGCGGGTCTTCAAATGTTTGCGAAAATCGTCGTCTGCGACTTTTCTTGACGAGGGATAAGTCGAGTTGCGAACATTTGCGAACCGGTCGGGCACCGTGGTGAGATAGTATGGTGACCCCACTTTCATGTCCATTGGACATGTCCATGTGGAACGGCGATGCCGTTCGATGCCGTTTTCCTTCAAATCGACGTCAAACTTGCGACCTCGTCTCGCCGCGCCACGCCACCGCTACCCGGTTGGCAAAACTAGTTCCCATTCCTGAAGGAACCACTTTGGGAGCAGTTCCTGAGGCAGTCCTCAGGGGATGTGGGAGGGACCATTTCTGGCGGGAGATCTTAGGGATCATACCTGAGGGAACTTCGCCCGGGCGTAACCAGACCGTTCCCTGGGGCACGTGCTGATAGTGACGTCTCCATCACGTGCCTATCGGGATCATGCCGACCGTCACATCATTGTCACGCCCCCGCGGATACAACCAGCCATAGTGGGAAACGCGTTGCAGATGGTACTATCCCCTCACGTCCTTTGTGTTGTGCACGCCGCGCCTTCACGTTCCCAGGACATCCCACGGGGGACGTTTCTGCAGGAACTACCTAGGATGGTCGTAGGGATTATGACCAGGTACATTCCTAGGAACAAGCCCCGTTGCCATAGGGTACTTTCGTAGATCCCTGAACCGGAAGCACACCGACGCCATGTTGGCGGAAGTAGATCCAAACTTGACATGGGAAAGAGACGTTCGTCAAAGGTATCGGCCACACTTGAACATAAACAGTCGTTTGATACTTGTTTGCAGTGCATATGTGTTTCGCGAGCAATATTTGTACAGCTCGGATATAGTTTTGGATCCGAAGAGAGGTTAGTTTCCGGCCAATTTGGCGTCTGCTGGTCTGCTTGCTTCCGGTTCAGGATTCTACGAAAGTACCCTATTGGGGAGCTCCCTGCGTAGTACCTAAAGGAACGTTCCTCGTTCCTGGGGGGACATTCTTGGGACGTCTTTAGTCACGAGTTTTGTCAACCGGGTACCGCAACGCGCCCTCGGGAGAGGACGGCAGAGGCGCTATGCACGCTGGCTACTCCAGCCAGCTCTGCCAGACACTGTGCCGCACCAGACATCGTTTTGAGCTGCCACCGATAGTGATACTTACAACTTCCGTGGTCATGCTGTTACGCCAAGACATGCATCGTTACGCAGGCCTTGGGTGCAGCCAGTATCAATAGGCGGCACAAGAGGCACGTTTGGTCGTCTCCTGGGTATATCTTTTGTCTTTTTATCTCCTCAGAAATGATTTTCACTACCAATGAAACCCTCAAATTCAAAGTTTAGCGAGAATTCAGCAATAAGGTTCGTTTTACCCCCCTTCACGCACCTGGCTCCGCCTCTTAGGGTGACTTTCACGTTCAAATCTCGTCAGAAATGAATTCAGCGACCCCTAAATACACTATACACAAAATTTGGTGAAGAAAATAATTTCGTGCGACTTTTTCCGTTTTCGCCCCACTGTGGGCCGTGGCTAGCACGTACACCTGAAATTAGCGGACACACAAAAGTTAAACCATTTCAGTTGTGCATTATCGGTGATAGCACTGCGTCAACGAAGGGCAAGCCATAATGTGGAGGTGACCGAGGGGCAAAACACTTGCGTTGTCAGTTGTATGCAAAGGCTAGCTGCAATCACGTGTCATCCGCCTGGAATTCTCTCCGTCGAACCTGCTAACCCTCATTTTCACACTACCCTGTTCAACTCCACTGTGGCTATCCGGAGTATCTGGGCCGGCCGTGGCCTCGGATTGCATGGAGCTGAATAGAAGGTGCCGTCCACCAGGGTCACGGTGTCGGGCGACCTTAGCCTTCGGGCGTGCCATTCCAGAAGGCGCTGGGACGCGAACACAAGTGACTGGTGGCCGGGCATCCCCACTTGGCCTTGGAAGAATGACTGCTCCCCGTCGTCCGTCATCCGCCGGCTGCCGTGGACGCCAGACTCCAGCTCCGCCGTCACTTCGGTGTAATTGTTGGGCTCCTGTGGTCGCGCCCGCGAGCCTCGGCGCCGGAGAGCATCAACGACGACTTGCGCATTAACGCGCGAGCGCACGGCGCAGGGCAGGCTGCACAGAATTCGAAACATTTGACATCTTCGCCTACACTGTTACGAGTCACACTTGTGGGATATATTGATGCGATTCTGGTTTCCTGACGGCCCCTCGACCCCCGAACCGATCGCCCGGAGCCCAGCCGAGGCCGGGATTGTCGTGAAACCGATAGAAGGCCGCATCTCGCACAGTGGGCCAGACGACAGGTGGAGGCCGCCAAAACTCTTGACGCGTTTTGAGCCCTAGAGTCGCAAACAGGACTCGAACCAAACATGTGACCCCACCAATGGATTCCTCGTTCGGAGAGCAGTCCATTGGTGCGGTCACACCGGGTTCTAGCCTGCACACGTGGAAACGACAAATTTATTAGCAGTACTCAACACGAATCCGTCGCCCTAAAGCATTTTGGACACAACAAGATGACTTGGAACACACCGCTCGTTGTTTGCAAGAACTAAAGCATGGGTAGGGGAAAACTGAGTAAGTACCTATAGAAATAAATGACCAAAGAAGAGGTGCTTACCGGACTGTCTGGTTTCTCGCCTTTTCCCCCTGAAATCCCGGGGCTTGAGGCCCTATTGGAGTCATCATTACCGTCATCGTCATCAGAGCATCGTGGCTTGCTGGAGCTGCTTACTTCGGTTTCGCCCTGCACACGTGGAAACGACAAAGTTATTAGCAGTTCTCAACACCAAATGGCCGCTACAAAACAATTTGGACACTACAAGTAGAGCTGGAACCAACAACAATTGTTGTATACAAGAAATTACAAAAGGGAAGGGGCAAATTGAGTAAGTTGCTATGCAAATGAATGAACAAACAAGAGGTGCTTACCTGACTGCACTGTTTGTTGCCTTCACTGCTGCGGTCCGCATCGTCCACCAAGGACTCCTCTGAGCTGCTTTTGCTTGAGTCGCTGAGGGTTCTCTGTGAACATGAGTAAGTATGGGTCAGAGACAAATTTTTAAACAGAACGCGGAGAACAAGACTAGTCATTAAATAACAGGAAAAGTAGCGATATACATCGGCAACTTTGGCCCGTCCTGTACATTAACAAATGTGTGAATTTCGCCTTTGTTGAACCCTGACGGGTTTGAACCTGAGTCTGGGGTCAGAATAGATGTTATTTTCGTCATCAGCGCCCTCAAAAACATAAAAAACAATGCAAAATCTCGAAATAAAAGAATGTTCAAAATATACCCCACTGGGATTTGAACCCGGGTCCAAACTTCTCCGCTTCGCTTGAAACTGGCACCGTTGGTTTTGTCTCGTCGCCCCGATTCCAAAAATACCCCTACATGCCCTGCTAGCTGTATCGGTTGCTGAAATCCTCCTCGACCCCATGTAGACCATGATGCACCTGCAGCAGCGCCCCCGGGGCTCGGATCGGATTTGCTGCCACCGGGCGGTTCTTAGGGTCACCCAAGGAGGCTGCATACCAAATTTGGTCAAGATCGGACCACGGGAAGTCCTCGGACGAACGAACGGACGGACGC